TTTTAATTATATCTGTTATCACAAGTTATCAGCTCCTATTAGACCGATTTGTGTCAAAAGATTACATATTGTATATAATTAAAGACATTACTCTCAAAAGTTGAAAATATTCCACTCGTTTATTTAGTATCAATATTGACACCCAATATACAATTTAATTGCTTTTATTGCGAAAATGAATTGTCATCACATCTAAACCAAACTTTACGTAAATATAACTCGCACTAAATACAAATATTTTAAAATTATCGAGTACTTTGGCTTAAACATTTTTTTTTGATTTTGATACGAAAATAATTTCAGCTAATTGGAGTGAGGCCATATAGTTGGGTTTGATTCCGATTCTATAAATCCACTTTCGTAGTAAACAATTTTTCACTCATCTCTTTTCTTTTATTAATGCTTGAATAAAAAAATCTAGAAACTAAAAAATTGTTTATTTACAACAATTTGTGTTTATGTCGTTGTGAATAACTTAGATGATAATTATTTAATTTATGTATAGCGATGATTACTATTAATAATAAAAAATAACTAAACATTGTATTTGCAAATTTAATGATAAAAATGGCTATATTTTTAGGTGAAACGCCTTGAACAATGATACCCCGTTACATACAACGATGATATAGTTTCGCATCTAATGAAAATTCACTTAAATGAAAAAATGTCTTTAAATATATCATATGTAAGGACATAAAATTTTAATTTTTTCATCAATTGCTGTTATGAAATAGCAAATACTACTAACTATACACACAAATTTAAAATTCGTTATCTTACTGTAAGGTTGAATTACCTTCATTTTCTTCCTCTTCCTCGCCTTAATCCCAACTACTTGGGGTCGGCCACCCTTATCCTAAACTTCCACTTGACATGATCTCCCACATCATCTACGCTCACATCAGCTGTCCTCAAATCGCATTCAATAGCATCTCTTTTTTGGTCTTCCTCTACCTCTTCTTCCTTCAACATTCATTTCTATAACTGTTCTTACAGCTTCCGATTCTTCTCTCCTCATAACATGACCAAACCATCCAAGTCTATTTTCTCTTATCTTATCCACGATTGACGCTACACCTATACTCCCTCTTATATGCTCGTATTCTATATTTTCTAGTCACTCCACACATCCATCTAACCATTCTCATCTCTGCTACACTCATTCTTTGCTCTACTTTTTTATCAACCGTCCAGCACTCTGAACCATACACCACAGCTGGCCTCACTACAGTCTTGTAGAATTAACCTTGTAGCCTCATTGGAATTCTTTTATCGCATAAGACGCTTCTCTCCACTTCGACTACCCGCACTTAATTCTGTGTCTTACATCCTCGTCAATACCACCACTCTTTTGCACAACTGACCCTAAATACTTAAAACTCTCCACCTCTCCAATTACGTCCTCGCCTATTGTCACTGACCTCCTCATTTCACCTACCTCATGATCTCCTTTTTAAAATTGAATTACCTTCATAAATAAACAAATATTAAAAATTATCATAATTTTTAAAATTATAATATCAACACGTGTAATTTCAGTGAAAAAAAAAACCAGCACAAGAGGTCTTGACACAGTGGTGGCGTGGGATAGTTGGATCAAGTATAATGATATTTGACAGTGATTAAAATCACTATCATAAAAGACGTTTTGATGCAAATCTTTAAATAGTGTTTAATTTTAAAAAGTTGGTGGATTATTCCAATAGCTACATGATTTGCTAATTCCTTATTTATATCCTAATTAAAATAAAGTATGCTAAATGAAAATTGGATATAAATATTATTTCTCATAAAAAAATTGTGTTTATCCATACACTTTTCAATAAGTTATAGTATTATAAAGTTAAAAAAATGTAAAAAATAAAATCGAGAATTATCACACAAAAATAGCATTCGGTAGCTATTTTCGCCGTGAAGACAAAATAAAGTCTGAAATTTTTATTTTCCATAATAAAGTACATTACATTAGTTTTAATTTAAGATATATATAAAAGTGTCAGGCTTTAAACTTTATAGATGTCAAGCATCTATAAAAAAAATTATATTGATTTGGTCATTTTTGAAAAAGTTATGGAAGTTTTAAGGAAAAATAATTAAAAATATAGAAAATTAGCGATTTTTAAATTTTTAAATTTTTTTGGAGATTTCCCCCATTTAGGGGAAACGAGGGAAATTTTTTTAAGTTTTTAGGGTAATGTCTTCGATTAGATACGATTTGTGATCTTTTGACGTATCGTTGAAAGAAATCGGTTTGATGAGAGCTGAGAAAAAGTGGTAACAGACACAAAAATAAAAAAAAAATTTTAAAAACACATCATAGTAAAACCAATACCTTCTCAGCTACGCCTCGAAGCTAAAAGTTGTAGTAGGTATAAACAATTTTTATCACTTTTTTAATTCGTTAAACCCTTTACAAATTGTATGTCATATGTTTTCAATTTATCAAAGTTAGCAAAATAAATATAGTTAAAAAAAATTGAAAAACACGCTTTTAAAGCATATCGAACTAAAAAGTTAAAAATAATTTTTAAAATTAGCTTAGAACAATAATGAACGAAAAATACTAGTATTATTGTGAAAAAAATCGTCAATATACGAAAAATATAGCATAAAGCACCTACGCTTTTGTTTTTAAGGGAGATTATCGTTTCTGCCAAAATTGACCGTATCGTTTCCACCAAGTATCGTTTCCGGCAAACCTGAATAAGGTCGCTTTTACTTTTCCGCCAAACTAATCTTCTACCTGTCTATCTATCTACTAAAAAATTTGAGAACCATTTAGTTTTATCCATGGGTCACCACGACATACCAGTATCGGTTTTAGCATACGGGCAAGTTAGATAGTTGCTAGTACCAAATTGTTTGGCTTTTATTGAATGTTACGTTCAGGCCTGTATTTAAGATTTTTGCGTGAGGTATTAATATTAATGAGCAAAATAGAGTAATTTTTTGTCCTATCACTATCAAATGATATTTGCTCCCAAGAATTTTTGACCCCCTTAGCCACCTCTAAATATGGTCACGTCGTTTTGAATAATTATTTATTTTATCACACAGGCATAACTTTATAAAGAAAATATGACATTTTACCTAAGGTAAATAAATTCTAATAGATAATTATCTTAAGTATGTATATATTTAATTGTAATGAATAATAAAAATATAGTTTATAAGAAAATAAAAAGTCATCAAAACATTAAAATAAAATTCAAACATTGACAATAAGCTTAAAAAATATCTGATACCTGTAATAATATAATAAAAAGTAGATCTATGATCTATACTATTTTCGATAGTTGTTGAAAACTAATTTCACAAATTCGAATTGGCTAATTTCATTGTTATTAAATTTATCACTTGTCTCTTTTGTTTTTCTGAAACGGATTTCAATTTTATTCCGTACGCTTTTTGAGACTGCATTATCAAAACTATATATTTTAATAAATTATAAGACTAAATATTTTTCATTCAAATTTTAAAAAAATTATTAATAGAAGGATGCGCCTTAAAAAATTGTGTTATTAAAATGTGAATGAAATGATTCACAATTATCAATGCACTGCTATGTAATAACAATAAAAAAATAGTAAAAATTTCGATTAAATGAAAAGTAGGTAATTATTATTGGGTTATTTTGGCATATATTTTAACCAGTGGTTCTCAAGCTTCTATTTATAGACAGATATAAACTATCGGTTTGGCGGAAACGATGAACGCCCGTTTTTAAATCGTGTTTTTCAGTTTTTAGTTTTTGATGATTACAGTCACGGAGTGTTTATTGCCAATTATCAATATCAATAGATATAATTTCTGTATTGCCAGTTAGTGTGTTTATAAACTCACAACAATGTGTCTTATTACCGTTGATAATAAAAACTATACAGAATGATTTTTTTATCATAACCCACTCAATTACTTGCAGAATAATAATAATTTAAACATTTTTTTTTATTATTATCTTTAGTTACACATTATTCTCGATTTTTTAACTATGTAATACTTTTTAAGTTCATCCCTTATGCCTTGGAGGGGGGTCAACTTTGTTTTTTTAAATGGTAATACATATTTTTAATTTAATAAAATGTTTGAGTTTTTAATTTAATAGTAAATGGCATTTGAATTTTTAATATAACTTTATTAGCTTATTAGATATAATCATTTAAAGTTTCAAATTTTTGAATTAATATACAGGTATAATACAGAAGGGATTACAAATATAGGTAGCTAATTGGTTTTTTATAACATCGATATTAGCAGGTACACATCATTGTTATTATCAATTGTAGTAAGGCACATTGTTATTAGTTTATAGATACACTAACAGACAATACAGAAAGTATATCTATTGATAATCATAATTGATAATAAACAATCCGTGACTGAGACAGCAATGTCATAAAAATCCAATTAGCTACCTGTATTTACAATCCCATGTGTATTATACATGTATATTAACTCAAAATTTTGAAACTTTAAATGTTTATATCTAATAAGCTAATAAAGTTATATTAAAAATTCAAATGCCATTTACTATTAAATTAAAAACTCAAACATTTTATTAAATTAAAAATATGTGTTACCATTTAAAAAAACAAAGTTGACCCCCCTCCAAGGCATAAGGGATGAACTTAAAAAGTATTACATAGTTAAAAATTCAAGAATAATGTGTAACTAAAGATAATAAAAAAAAAAAATGTTTAAATTATTATTATTCTGCAAGTAATTGAGTGGGTTATGATAAAAAAATCACCCTGTATACCTGCGAATATCGTCCTAAAAAACCAATTAGCTACCTGTATTTGTAATCCCTTATATATTATACATGTAAATGAACTCAAAAAAAATCGAATCTTTAAATGTTTATATCTAATAATAAACAATCAAAATTTATTTAAATATATAATATTGATGATGCGCACGCTTCACGGATACGAAAACCAAAAATAAAATTATACAGGAAAGTATTGTTTTCAAATGGTGAGTGGGTGGGATGAATGCGTTACGACAGTCTAGTCTCAAAGCTATAGACGACGGGATACGCAAAAATAATAACAAGTTGCGCGTGGAGAGTTACAAACAAACATACTTACAAACTTACTTAAAAACATACATACAGATGAAACTAATATAAGCGTGTTAATAATCAGGGTGAGTTACTTAGTCTGTTTATTTTACTAGCTTATAACTGATTAATATTTTATTGTTTTTAGTTATGAAAATACCTCTCTTATAAATTCTCTAATTATTATTATAAAATTAAAATTTTATGCTGAAAAATGCAATATAGTCTTATAAAGTATATATAATAAATATTTTACATGAAGAAATAGAAATTAATCATGATAAATTTAATTTAATTATATTATATTTAAAAAAAACCTCTTGTAAGTAATAACAATAAATAAGAATACACGTGCATTTTTATTTAACCCAGCCAAATCATGTACGATGGATAAACTAGAAAAGAGAAAAACATTTATGTCTGTAGTACATAAATTATTGAGTAGTATTGATACCATTCGAATAGTAAAAATATTTTCTGAGTCGCATGATCTTTGATATTAAATTATTTTCTTGTGGTAAATAGTTTTTAGTTACTTTTTTGCATTTGTTAATCGTTTATTAATCTATTATAATCGTGAATTATTCTTAATAGTTTTTAAAATATTTTTATTATTTTATCAATTATATTTTTTATCATTTTTTTTTATTTTTACTTTATGACAAAAATAAAAGGATAAATATTTTTTTATTGAATTAATTTTGATGTCATAAAAGATATTTTATTTATTAAATAAATAGTCATAAAAATACATAAATAATCATCAACTTTATACTTAAAGATCACTTCAAATATTAACATCGTAAATACAAAAACATTTTTAAAAACAACTGATTTTCGACTTATATGTCAAAAGTAAAAAAAATGATATATCACTTCTTTTTAGATTTTACGTCGAAAAAATTCGATGACTACGTTTTCAATTTTTACTTGGATATGGTCTAGTGTTCATGTTTATTATGATACAAATAATCGTGTCGAATCTGCCCAAAAAGTCGATCAACATCACCTCACGATGACCTCTTTGAAGCCTAGTAAAAACAATAACAAGTTGATTATTGTGTGGCAAAATGTGATTGCATCTATCATTTTGCATATAGGAGCAGTTTATGGATTTTATTTGGTCTTTACCGGTCATCTTTATGGAAAAACAATTATATATGGTTAATAAATATTATTAAACTAATAAATAATAACTTAGTATTATTATATATCCTTAAAATAAAATAAATGTATAATATATAATATAATAATAAACTAAAAAAAACCTGGGAATTTATATATTATATTATTTATGAAGTTTTATATTTAAGTTAATATACATATTTATAGTAGTGGCGCAAATAACCCAACCAACTAGCAAGAATGTTGGAAAAATGATAATTATAGACCCCTAAAATTTAGGTTCATCTCTTATGATTTTGTATAAGTACTATTTTTATTTTTTTGAAGAATAATTACAATATTATTTAGAATTTTTGTATAATAAAAAATATTAAAAAGCAAGTTCAATTTAAAAGGGTCCTGCTTGACCTATGGCCTATTAAGATTAAGTTGCGCAAGTGATTTATGCTTAACCAATTTATAGATGTGTAATGATATCGATTTCTTCGATTTTTTTCAAATATATCTACAATAGGTACAAAAATTAATGTACTTTTGCAGATTTCGAAATTCTTCACTCGTTATATACGAATATTATTATGTTTTCACAGTATTTAAAATAGCTACAAATTTATTTGTATCTCATGTTAATAAATTTTTGTTTCTAGCTTACCTAGTATTAATGTTTAGTGGAATGGGAATAACTGTAGGTGCACATAGACTTTGGTCACACCGATGTTTTAACGCCCGTTTGCCTTTGCGTATACTTTTAGCAACTTTTCAGACTCTTGCATTCCAAAATCACATCTATGAATGGGTACGCGATCATCGAGTACATCATAAGTTTACCGACACAGATGCTGACCCATATAACTCAGCCCGTGGGTTCTTTTTTTCTCATATAGGATGGCTTTTGGTTCGAAAGCACAAAGACGTTTATGGCAAAGGCAAAACAATCGATATGCGAGACTTGGAAGATGATCCTGTAGTGATGTGGCAAAAAAAGTAAAAACAAAATAATTATCATTACTAGGTCTTTTTATAGCGTATATAATTCTAAAATTAATTTTATGCTTTTACATCTCAAACCCATGAAATTTTAGCCATTAAATTTAATAAGTAAAAAAACATCAAAAGCATACGGACACTTTGATACGATTGTTGATAAAGAAAATAAAGAAATAAAAATTGAAAAATTATAATAAAAAGTTTACATATATTGATTTTTGTCGCCTAATGCACATAAAAGAAAAATTTCTAGAAATCTTAATTTGTTTAATCTTATAGCATAACTAAAAAAAATTCGATTTGATTTAGTTTTGAATAATGTAAATATTCCGTTGTTATGCCAAACACTTTAATTTATTTTTACTGAAAATTGTATGTGTTTCAAACTCTTACAAATTAGGTTTTCGGGTAAAAAAAAAACGTTAAGTTCTCTGATTAGTATTTGAATTTTTATAAAAAAACAAATCAACAATTAAATGCCTATAATATTAGCCAAAAAAGTGTCATAATAATCCGGTTTAGTTTTCAGAAAGATACTTCAATAAAAAGTGAAAACTAAAAATATCAATATCGACGGTTTTAAAACAATTGTAATTTTTGGACGTTTCTCTTCTAAGATTTCTAGATTTCTTTGATTTGGAAGAATGTTACCATTATCAGCACTAAATACTTACTAATTTTAATGTCTCCATATATAAAGTTTTTTGTAAATATTAATGTTTCTAAATAGTTTTATAGTTTCAATGGAGTTATTATGTTAATAAATATTGACTCACAGAAAATTTGTTAAATTCTTTATTTTAATGTTTCTTAAATATTATTTAAACATAACCCCAATGTTTCTTTTTGTTTGGACTACGTAATATTTATCACAACTATCACATTGTATTTTATTAATGAATTCCCCTTTTTTTCTACTTTATCTGTAGAGTTATCTAATAAATCTTTGAAATTATAAGTCTTATAAGTTACTAAAGTAATACCAAAATTCTTACAAAGTCTAGTTAACCTGATCAAAATGCCCAAATAATATAATATGGACAACCAAATTACTTTTTACTCCCCCTCACTAGAAAGCGTACTAGCGGACCTCCTTTTTTTATTCCATATTTGTGTACGGACTCATTTTGAACTTACATTTTCATCATACCCTTTACATATAACTATTTCTTTTACAACCCATAGTTATTTATCGGAATATTAATAAACCTGATAACTATACTATTGAAAGCTGTCATTTTTTGTTGTCAGCTGTAGTTTGAAATGTACCTAAATGTGCGTGCTTACCTTTAAATTAAAAAATTATTATGCAAAAAGAGGGCTAAATAAATAATTTCATAAATAATAGATTAAAATGCAATATACTTAACAAAAAATTAACAGATTTACATTGAAGGGTTTTTTTATTATAGTGATGTTGATCACTATCAGATAACATTCACTTTTCCCAACTCTGATGGGTTCTTTTAAAAATATTTTTTACAGTTTTTAAACTACGTTAAAAACTTATTTTTTATTATTTGACCTCTAATAAGAAAAAATTTATTTATTTTTCTTTGAAATTTAAAAATAATCATTTTTTAGCCCTTTTATTGTAAAAACTTTGATGGATTTATAACAACTTTAGGATAAATACTTATTGAGTTACAAGAATTTTTATACATACCTTTCCATATACTCAAACTCTATACGTTCATTAGTTAATATAAACATATTAAAAAAAATATTTCTTGATAAATAATAGTATTTCGTAAAATTTTTATGAAATATATGTTCTATATAATTTTAAAACCCTACTATTATATAACAGAAATTGTTTATTTTTTTTAATTAAATCTTAATTATTATATTTCTTAATTACTTTTCAGGTACTACATATGGTTGGTACCAATTATATCATTTTTAGCTTCTTTAATCCCTTACTTACTTAGTAAAATTTACATTTATAACATTCAAAAAATAATGAAAATTTAAAGTAGAACATTAAACTGAGTAACTACTTTGAAAATATTACCGATTTTTTATCATTGTTCCAAACCAACCTTCGCCAAATTAAAATTAATAATTATACTTAAAACTTACATCTCTAACACTAGTCATAATAAAACAAACTTTATATGCTTAATGATATTTGTAAAAATTGTATTATTTAAAAATTAAAGTATGATACATTTTTTATTAATTATTTTTCAGATACTACTTATTGCTAGTGCCAATTGTGGCATTTATATTACCTTCCTTGGTGCCATATTTGTTATGGAATGAGCAATTTTGGTACTCCCTTTTATTTGTTGGTTTGTCGCGTTATATGTTTGCGTTACACTCTACTTGGCTTGTAAATAGCGCTGCACACATTTGGGGAGTCAGACCATACGACAAGTATGTATAATTTGTTATCAACGTACAATAAAATATTTTGAACTTAATTTGTTTATAATATTAAATTATTTAAACGATTTCAGTAGAAGCAAATTATTTTAATTTTAGATAATATTTTAATATTAACTCATAAACAGGACAAGAAAACGATGAAATGTATTAATAATTAAAATATTTATTAAATATTTTTGATAAAACGTGATCAAATACGAAAAACAAAACACCTAAAATACATGATATATATTACCATAAATTATTATTAAACATAATACAACTTTTAACATAAAGCTGTCCTTATTAAAATTGTTTTCAAACGTTATATTTAAAATTAATCTATGTAAAAAAAGTTGTCATTTGCCTATATTAAAAACTGTCCATGATAGTTAATTACGTTTCGAACCCAATTAATGTTAAACAAAAAAGTGTTATGTTACACTGTTAAACGACGAAAAATTTTTAAAAAATAATTGTATGGCACTGCACATATTTGGGGAACTAAACCATATGATAAGTCAGTTTATTATATGGTCTTTTTTAAATTATTTTTTTATTTTGTTTAAATATAGTAAATTTATTAAAATAAATCTCTTTTAGTATTCATTTTTAAACTCAAATTTATTAAACTTTTTATTAATATTTATCCTGTAATTATAAACTATTCATTTAGTAATATTTTTAGTTATATTTTCTTAGAAATATAATAATTGTATTATTTAAAAATTAAAGTATGATACATTTTTTATTAATTATTTTTCAGATACTACTTATTGCTAGTGCCAATTGTGGCATTTATATTACCTTCCTTGGTGCCATATTTGTTATGGAATGAGCAATTTTGGTACTCCCTTTTATTTGTTGGTTTGTCGCGTTATATGTTTGCGTTACACTCTACTTGGCTTGTAAATAGCGCTGCACACATTTGGGGAGTCAGACCATACGACAAGTATGTATAATTTGTTATCAACGTACAATAAAATATTTTGAACTTAATTTGTTTATAATATTAAATTATTTAAACGATTTCAGTAGAAGCAAATTATTTTAATTTTAGATAATATTTTAATATTAACTCATAAACAGGACAAGAAAACGATGAAATGTATTAATAATTAAAATATTTATTAAATATTTTTGATAAAACGTGATCAAATACGAAAAACAAAACACCTAAAATACATGATATATATTACCATAAATTATTATTAAACATAATACAACTTTTAACATAAAGCTGTCCTTATTAAAATTGTTTTCAAACGTTATATTTAAAATTAATCTATGTAAAAAAAGTTGTCATTTGCCTATATTAAAAACTGTCCATGATAGTTAATTACGTTTCGAACCCAATTAATGTTAAACAAAAAAGTGTTATGTTACACTGTTAAACGACGAAAAATTTTTAAAAAATAATTGTATGGCACTGCACATATTTGGGGAACTAAACCATATGATAAGTCAGTTTATTATATGGTCTTTTTTAAATTATTTTTTTATTTTGTTTAAATATAGTAAATTTATTAAAATAAATCTCTTTTAGTATTCATTTTTAAACTCAAATTTATTAAACTTTTTATTAATATTTATCCTGTAATTATAAACTATTCATTTAGTAATATTTTTAGTTATATTTTCTTAGAAATATATCGCCAACGGATAATAAAACTGTAGCATTTTTGGCTTTTGGAGAAGGATGGCATAACTATCATCATACTTTTCCATGGGACTACAAAGCTGCTGAATTGGGAAACTACCGACTTAACTTTAGTACAGCATTTATTGACATCTGTGCTTGGCTTGGATTGGCTTACAACTTGAAGACAGCAAATGCGTCATTAGTGAATAAACGTTTACAAAGAACTGGTGAGAGCTCAAATAAAGAAAAAAGAGTTGAAGTATGGGGTTGGGGAGATACAGATATGACTGAATCTGATAAACAAATTGCACAAATAAGTTAACAAAATGGCTAAAAGTTGAAAAATATTAGTAATTTAATTAAACACAGCCAACATAACATTCTTACTTTATACAAAAATCATGTGTTTCATTTTCTAAGAATATTTTTATTTTTATTATTATATTACTAATGTATATTTTTAAGTTGTCTTATTTTTTTCCTTGTTAGTATATTTACATTATTTATGAACTGTGATTTATTAGTATAAGAATGTGTTTTGTATTAGATCTACTTAGTAATTTAAAAAATTTATTTAACTTTTTCATGAAAAAATACATGTTAACATATGATATTAACTTGAATACTTTATAATTTGTTTAGCTTAAAACTGCATGATAATTCATGAAAGTAAAAATAATTATATTTAAGGTAGAATAGAAAATAATAAATTTATCAATTTACTAAATGGATAGTAAATTCATATACACGAAACAGTTTGACCATATCTTAAGATCTAAATAATCTATTTATATAATAGTTCATCTTACCCCATGCGAACATCTTGCCTCCAAAGTTATTAGATGATAGGATTTCATTTAATAACCTTGATATTGCCTCAGGTTATTTTACTAAGATAATCACTCATCTTTTTGTTATAATTTTTAACTTATAAGTTTTTCAAGTCCAAAAGATTGTTAAAAATTAATAACATTAATAAATAAATGATAATTCTTAAGTATAATAGTTCTTTTTACAAATATAAATGCTAATGATATATGCATATTATACATTTATTGGCGATATAAACTAAACCCATTACGAGCAAACCGACGTAAAGGATTAAAAGAATAATAAAAATAAAGTCTTGATCACCACTGAAAATGTTTTATATTAAATCTATAAGATTAGGAATAAATTAATAAAAGAAAATGTGCCCAATAATGCGTTGATTAAAATATTACCAAACTAGAAGGTAAAGTAATTATTGCAAACAAATAGATAACTAAAAAAGTAATAATAGGATATGATGGTAGTTGAGGTATACTTTATATTTGTTGTTTTGAACTTAATACGGGTCCTCAAATTGTTTAATAGTTCATTTTTTGTTCTTAATGTTTTTTATTATTTATTAATTTGCATGTTCCTGATTTGACTGATAAATTAAAAAAAAATTTACAAATATATTTATTGACTTTATCAAATTCATATAACTATATTTTCTTTTTAATTGAACTTTAATCTGCAAATCTGTCTAACGGTCCTTCTTGTTACTAAGAAACGGTATTGATATTGTAGCTTAATACTATAGTCTATTATTGATTTTCACAATGTGATATTTAGAAGGTATTAGGTTAGGTATATATATATTTAAGTACAAGATTTTAATTAAAATTAAAGAAGTCAATTATTTTTTCATACAAATCGCCTCTATACATTTTTTTATTAAACATTTTTAAATGAGCAAAAAAAAGCAAACACTTAATAAATACTTGGCAGCTAGAAAATGTATTAGCTAAATTAATTACAAATGACTCGAGATATTTTAGAATATCGACTAAGAATTTTTTGAACTTTACGTAAACACATTTCTATTTCATAATAAAATGTTTAGTATAATTTGAGTGTAATAGAGAAAAAAACTCATACAATAAAAATAATTACATGATGAAAAAAATTTTTTTTTCGTTTGGAGAAGTAGTGAATATAATTTTACGTATTTCTTTTCAAAATAATATCTTAATTTAGACTCGTTTAGAAATTACTCATTAAGACGTCATAATTTAATCAAGCAGGTCAAATTTAACAAGAAAAACAATTGCACTGTAAGGTAGGATGGAACATATATATTGTATTATTTCGCATATTACATGAATTGCAGTTTTAAGGAGGAGTATATTAACACAAACGTTTTCCTTTGCTATTATTTGTACTCTCAATTTCTGTTATAGCACAACAACAGAGTGTCCTTTATATTAATTCCACTGTCGTTAATGCAGAGTATTGACTATAATTCCTCTGCGATTTATGTAAGTATAAAAGTCTTTCAAATGCATGTAATTAATTAAATACTTCTTAGTTGTTTTTAACTCAATACATTACGATTTAATGTAGTTTATTCTGATAACTAAGGAATTTCTCCATTATGAAGTGCTTCCCCCATTATTAAAATATTACTTTCAGCAACTTTTTTTGGGTTAATTGTAATTACTTCTAAATTCAAACAATTAACTATCGTACTTCTATAGATGTATTATTTTTGCTAGCTTATAAAAATCAGACAATGACCGAATCGTAATTACTGTCTCTTTTTCAATTACATACACATTTTCTCTCTTTCGTCATTTTCATATTCCTAACTATTGTGAATAAAGTAAACGTGCACTTACAGACAACATTTATAACCTATAAAAAATATACCAGGACGTATATCATTACTCATTTTTGCGCATACATTGCACAATTTTCACGAATATTAGTGTCTAATAAACCACATTGGGAAAACTAAATCATATTGATTGCTTATGTTTATATAAACGGCTTTCAATCGTTTTATAAAACCCATGCTAATCCCGTTATGTTTACAAGCGTCACGGCCCCAATATTAATACCTATTACATACATATTAATTACTTCGCATAAATATGTAAGTACTCAATATCTATTATTAACTATTAAATCACAAAAATTTCAAACCATTAAAGATTTAATAAACCAATGATAATAATTTCACAGTAAGTATTTACCCCACTAATTGATAATATATCACTTTTACCTGCAATTCCCTTCAAATACATAAAAAATAAAACTGACCCTACCAGTCATTTATTAGTCTTTGATCAAACAAAATATCTTAGTTTCTCTTGACATAATTTTTTCAAAAATCTAACAGTGGTCGTTGAAATTATATTTATTTCTTGTTCAGTATTTAAATAATAGTGTTAATTATTGTTATCCATCACAGCTCATAAATCCATTGGAAGGTATCGTTTACTAGTTTCATCTTCAAGTAAAAATGTAAAAATTTCACTCGTGATTTATATTATTTACTAATGTTATAAGTAACTTGTAGTAGTTCGATTCCGTTCGATTGGAATATAGAAAAATAACAACTAATGTACGACTTAACCAAAACAAGTAAAAAATTGATTCTAAACTAAATATTTCAGATGGGTTTAAACTTGCAATTTCATATTTTACAATTTATCTTGTAACATTTTTCAACAATTTTTACCTTTCCAAAATTATAGCTCTTTACATTATTATAATTTATCTAAAACATTGATTCGCTACAATTTATACATTTCTTATAATCAATTTCAATTTTTATCGTCATATTAAGTATTTCTTTGATTTAAATATTTTTTAAATTCCCAAATATATTAAAAAACTTTATTATGGTTTTGTCTTATTCAATTTTTTATAGTCCTTACAATAATATTAATCAGTACCTCGATTTATAAATAGGATAAACATTTTAAAACATTCTGAAACAAATTTACTCTAATTATTGACTCTTACCACAAAATGATAATTGGTTCAAAAATTATAAACATTATACTAAAAGTTAAGCACTCTGTATAAACATTTTTTAAATAGTCTTTTTAAGTTTTTTAAGACTAATAATGAACTTAAATCATTGGCGTAAATCTTGTTAGCTTAACTAAATGTGCTTTTCTTTAAGATTTATTTTATTATCAATTTTTTACTTAGATTTTAGAATATTAAACCAATATACTATGCATGAATATCCACTTAAAAACAGTTCATTCACACAATTATTTATCTTTTAAGCTAAATTTGAAAATCCATATTATTTTTATATATTGAAAAAAGTATCTCAAAATCACGCTACCAAAAAAAAAAATGCATGTTCATAAAATTTTTTAGCATTATAAAACTTATGTAAATTTTTTTTTAATACTATTTTAAATGAGATTTCAATTAGTCTCTTAGAGACAATTAGTTTTCTTTTGGCATACTTCTTCTAAAAATCTGTTGAAAAACCTAAGTACAGTATAGGTTTGAAAGACATCACTCACGTACGTCAATTTTTTTTTAACTTGATTTTTGAAAATGACCGGTAGTTTGACACCTTCTAATCTATATTATTTTAGAGCATTTGAAATGTACTTCATTATTAAAATAAATATCACAAAGTATATTTTGCTAGGTCAAACCACTGTCAAAGCAATAAAATAACGTTATTTTCAATTAAATAAACTAATTAACCAAAATTTAATAATTCAAATGAAATTTTATATCATATAAGTTTTAAAATTAAATACATAAAAATTATTTAATTAAAAAGATTTAAATATAAGCATTTAATAGTGATGTTAATCACTGTAAGATATCACTTATACGTCTCAACATTGCCGCATACCCTCTGACCTGTGACCACACTGTGTTGGTTTTTTGTTTTGTATTATAATAAATTTAATAAATAATTATATTATTTTAATAAAAAAAAGTTCTAAACTATAGGCATATCAATTTGAATATAATTTTAAACAAAATTAAATAAAAATCTATTCATCACACAGTTTAAATCAGACCTTTTTCGTATTGTCTTGTAATAATGGTGTCATTTTAAATTTATGTGAAACAACAAATGATGGGACACATGTATGGAAATAAAAGTGTTTAACGAAATTCTGACGCAGAATTTTCAAGCAATTACTATTGTTATAGACAAAAACATTGCTAATATTGAGCATGTCTGTATCGTAAAATAATTAAGTAAAAGTGAAAACAAAGTTAAATGTTCATTTAGCGATCAATCACGAGAATGTGGCAAAAAATATTCAAAACATAATTAAATTATTAAATCGTGAGGATTTTAAGCATTACTTATTTATTTATGTAACACATAATTTAAACTCATTAACAATAAGTATGTGTGAAATATTTTGAAATATTCTGTTTTTTCGTTTATCGATTCGTATTGTGACCTACTAGTTAGTACTACCATTTGCATTTAATTTACACATAAATATGTGTACACCAAACTAAAGTATAATTTTAATGAGTCTCTAGTAGATGTATCAAATATTTAACTTTGAATTTCATGCTAAACATTCACTTTCGTGTATTCGTTTGTTTAGAGATATAATACCTAATTAAAGATTAATTAATAGGTAATGATAGAACGAGCTCCATTTTGTAAATTCAAAACGTATCGAGTTTAACAAATAAATTTTCAAACCTAAAATAAGCTTAGAATAATTAAATCAAAATCTAATAAACAGAACTATAATGTATAAACTTAATAACTGAGTATTAAATAGAACTTTTTGATTTTAACAAAAATATTAAAATAAAGGTATATATATTTTTAAATATATATATATATATTTTAAATAGTATAAAAACGTACTAAGTTTGTTGTTTTAGAGTGTAAAATAAAAAAAAATTATTATTATTAAATTTGCAAAAAAATGTTAAAAAAGTTTTTACAATACTTAAATAACTTCACAATCAATATAATGTAATTTGAACGTTAGTTACTCAATCAATAATACTGTTCGATAATATGAATGATATTATGTCGATCATTTCTTAACTAACATTTTAAAATTAGTTTAATTAGAGCAATTAGTTATGACCGTTAAAGGCTTTTTACATGCTTATGAAATCGTCTGACACATGTGGTCAAGTGATATAATTCCATCTTATATTTTACTATTATAAAGTAATGTTGTAAATTATTAAACTACCATATTTACATGAAAAAAAAGGAGCTTTTAAATTTTTAATTATACAGATACTTTATCTTATACAAACCTAACAGGAAAAATTGCTTCAAAGTTATTTGATAGAAGTAAAAAGTTTTAATAATTGAATTTTCAACAAAAATTAAATTAATATGTACAAAATGCACATTTATAGGAGCATTATTAAGTTACGTTAGCAATATGTTATTCATATAAATTAAAATTAATATTAATTTTTTCCGCTAAATGCATTACATCATAACTGAAATAAAGAAGTTTTAACATTTCATTATTTTGATCATTTTAATTAAATATTGTAAAAACAAAAGTAATAATAAACATCATAAGTATGATGGGTTATATTACTATTATAGTATTTTATAAAAAATGATTCTTTTTTTAATTTTATTGAAAACATGATTATTAGAAAAATTTTTGTCTTTTAACTAACCATATAACATATTTTTAACTTTTATCCGTAATATCATTTTAATATTTATCGTAATGAGTATTGAATTATAATTTTTACCTAGCAAAAAAAAAGTTGAAATAATAATTCAATTATTTATTTTTAACTTGTTTACGTTAGTTTTTTTTTTTCAGATAATCCAGTAAAGAAAATTAGATGGCCGCGTCATCGACTTTTACTCAAATATGGTCTGGTGTTAATGTTGATTATGATGATAACAAAATTGTCGGGTCTACCCAAAAAGTCATCCAACATCATCCACCGACAACTCCTCTTAAGACTAATAAAAATAATTACAAATGGCAAATCGTATGGCGAAATGTGATTGCATTTATTATTTTGCATATAGGAGCAGTTTATGGACTTTATTTAGCTATTGCCGGTTATTTATACGCAAAAACAATTGTATTTGGTAAGTTATTATACTTACAATAAAAAAATATCTTAATTAATATTTAAAATATTTATCAAAATACATATAAAACTAAACAAAGGTTCTTAAATCTGCTTTGATTCTTATTTAAATATATCTGGTGAAATCAAAATATTTTAACTAAATTTCAACTAAGCTTTCTGTCATATCAAATTTTTAAAACATAGCTATAAATAAATTTAATAAATAAAAAAATAATTGTAAGATCAAAAATTGATCCAATTAATTAACAATAATAGCAAAATAAAATAAATAAAATTTTTAATATATATACAGTGTGTTTTAAACTAATATTATAATTAGTATATTTCGGCGGGACACTGTATATATTTTTTATTATTTTTAAATCATATTTGATTTTGCTCTGCTTAAATTTAATAAAAACTAAAATATATTTAACAATTAGAGAAATCAAATGATCCTTAAACAAAACGAAGCATATAAGCAATGAACACAATTATCCATTTTTGTTAACTTATTAATTTTAATTTAAACAAATATCTAGTTAAGCAAATTGCTATGCTTTATAATTTAAATGAATAGTAAAAGTTATAATAATCATTGTCACTAATGAAGTACTTTTCTAAACCAAAAAGAACTAATATTACTAATTATTAAATACAAATCTAAATTTATATATTTTTCGATTCGGTTAAATTAATATTCTTTACTTCATCCTTTTCGAAATTTATAGCAATTTGAATTTGTATACCGAATACACTATACTCTCTGTTTATATTAATATTATATTCGTTATAAATAGGGCCCAGATTTAAATGCATTTATAGATTTTACTAAATTATTCTGATTATACAATGAGCAACTACAAATTTTTATTAATTAGTCTGATAACTTATTAATGAGTTGTTACTAATTTTGGGAGATTTTTAAAAGAGTTAATGCCTCTAAAATAATAAAATATTTCTACGCTACTATATATTCCTACAAAAAAGTTAAACAAACTTGAGATTCATCAAAGAAAATATATAAATACATTTAAATGTAGCCCTAATTATAACGTTAACCTACAACAAACAAATTTTTTTTTTTATCTTGTATGTTTTATTTTGAGAACAAAACCATTTTAGTATAGTAAATTCAATATAGTATACATTATATTGACATTTTTTACTTAATAGTATTTTATAATTATTTATTTAGGTTATTTAGTTGTTTCGTGTAGTGCGTTGGGTATAACTGTGGGAGCACATAGACTTTGGTCACACCGATGTTTTAACGCCCGTTTGCCTTTGCGTATACTTTTAGCAACTTTTCAGACTCTTGCATTCCAAAATCACATCTATGAATGGGTACGTGATCATCGAGTACATCATAAGTTTACGGACACAGATGCTGACCCACATAATTCAGTCAGAGGTTTCTTTTTTTCGCACATGGGATGGCTTTTGGTTCGAAAGCATAGAGACGTATTTAACAAAGGAAAAACGGTTGATATGCAAGATTTAGAAAGCGATCCTGTCGTGATGTGGCAAAAAAAGTAAGAACATTTCTATCTTAATTATCAATTACACAGTTGTGTATTTAAATAGTATTTTTATTATTCAAGTTATTTTCACAAGCAGTTGAATGATGAAAAAATAATCTCGAAAATTCGTATGTAAAAAAAAATATGTAACATATATAGTAATGGCATCACGTAATATTAACGAGTGCGACAGCTCAGAGCGTAAATTTTATCATTGATTTTTTGTGTTAAATTTGCATAAAATATACATAAAAATTCCCACATTTTTAAAGGATTTACTGAAATTGATCGATTAAGGAATATTTGCGTTTTGTTTCAATCTCAAAAACAAAACAGTTTATCATAAGTTTTTATCAATAAATTCTGTGTAAATTCTATTTCTTTTCTTTTAATAATAGTAAAATTTACATTAATAAAATTCAAAAAATAATGAAAATTTAAAGTAGAACACTAAACTGAGTAACTACTTTGAAAACATTACCGATTTTTTATCATTGTTCCAAACTAACCTTCGCCAAATTAAAATTAATAATTATACTTAAAACTTACATCTCTAACACATAATAAAACAAACTTTATATGCTTAATGATATTTGTAAAAATTGTATTATTTAAAAATTAAAGTATGATACATTTTTTATTAATTATTTTTCAGATACTACTTATTGCTAGTGCCAATTGTGGCATTTATATTACCTTCCTTGGTGCCATATTTGTTATGGAATGAACGATTTTGGTACGCTTTCTTATATGTCGGTTTGGCACGTTATATGTTATCGTTACATGTTACATGGCTCGTCAATAGCGCTGCACATATTTGGGGAACTAAACCATATGATAAGTCAGTTTATTATATGGTCTTTTTTAAATTATTCTTTTATTTTGTTTAAATATAGTAAATTTATTAAAATAAATCTTTTTTTTGTTTTTGTTATTCAATAACATTTTTTTAACGTGAATCAATTAAACATTTTGTTAATATTTATCCTGTTATTATAAACTATTCATTTAATAATATACTTAGTTATATTTTTTTAGGAATATATCGCCAACGGAGAATAAAACTGTAGCATTTTTGGCTTTTGGAGAAGGATGGCATAACTATCATCATACCTTTCCATGGGACTACAAAGCTGCTGAATTGGGAAACTACAGACTTAACTTCAGTACAGGATTTATTGACATCTGTGCTTGGCTTGGATTGGCTTACAACTTGAAGACAGCAAATGCGTCATTAGTGAATAAACGTTCACAAAGAACTGGTGAGAGCTCAAATAAAGAAAAAAGTGTTGAAGTATGGGGTTGGGGAGATACAGATATGACTGAATCTGACAAAAAAATAGCTGAAATAAGTAAAGTAAAGTAATCAATGTACTTATATTTGAAGAAAAGATTATAGATATAAACAAATTTTATGAGACACCTATTAATCTCATAAAATTTTAACATCCAATATTTTTATGAATTTTTAACTATCATTATTAAAATGTTTAATTATATTGAGGACTGATTATAAATTTTTTTATTTATATAACTTTTAACTTTAAGTATTTGTAAAAATAAATGGTTATATTTAATGAACTTTCGTTATTTATTTGTATAACTAACTATTTATACAGTTTTCTTCAAAGTATACTAGATATTAAATTATTTTAGATAATTAAAGTAGTAATATATGTATATTGCCAAATTACTTCAGTCTAAATCATATTAAAGTTAATTTTATAAACCTATAAGATTTAGCTATCAACTCGGATTTAAATACTGAATTATTGTTTGCTAATAAAAAAAAAACTATTTTTTTTATGATTTCTAAGTTACAAATGAAATCTTAAAGGTTCATTTAAAAAAATGTTCATGGAAATTATATTATTGAATATAATACTGAAATTAATTCAAATTAAAACTTTACTTAATAATGAGAAATCAAAAAAAATTTTCTGAAAATGCTGGTTGGATTGAATGGGTCCTAGAAAACCAACTGAATTATAAATATAATATTTATATATAAATTTCTTTTTGGGAAAAATTTTAAGTTCATGTAAAATCAAATAGATTTATGTTATAACGTGTACATTAGTCATGTAGCTAAAGTTCTTTTAATGGATAAATTAAGAATAATATTTGAAACTTTAACTAGAAAAGTTATCTCTTACATGGCAACTAATAGTAATAAAGATGGAAATGTGCCCTTCACTAGTGTGATGTATTTGAATCACATAAATAAATTACATTATTGAAAATAAATAGTTAAGTCAACAAAGCTGAAGTGCAATACAATTTATTTTTCATTTAGCTAATAATGATGTAATTAGTTACAAGTTAAAAAAAACCCAGCACAGGGGGGTCGCGGCACAGTGGTGACGTGGTATAGATGGATCAAGTATAATGATATCTGACAGTGATTAAAATCACTATCATAATAAACGCTTCGATGCAAATCTTTAGATACTGTTTTATTTTAAAAAATTGGTGGATTATTCCAAAAGATTCATAAACTGCTAGTTCCTTATTAATATCCTGATTAAGATAAAGTATGTCGAATGAAAAAGGGATTATTAAAAAATAGTATTTCCCATAAAAAAATTATATTGATCAATACACTTTTCAATAAGTTATAGCATTATAAAGTTAAAAATGTAAAAAATAAAATTGAGAATTTTCACACAATAATAGCATTTGGTAGCCATTTTCACCGTGAAGACAAAATAAAGTCCGAAATTTTTTTTTTTCATAATAAAGTAGATTACATTAGCTTTAATTTAAGATATATATAAAAGTGTCAGACTTTCCGGAACACTTTCAAAATTTAAGTTGAAAAAGTCAATTTTTTGTGAAAAAGTTGTCATTTTGAATCCCCCCCTGTAGGCAGGTAAAAAGTCAGATTTATAAAAAAAATATACCAAATGATAGGTAAAGACATCATGCATCTACAAAAAAAAGAATTATATTGATCCATACATCTTTCGAGAAGTTATAGCATTATAAAGTTAAAAATATAAAAAAGAATTTTTTTACAAAAATCGTATTTTTTTTATTAAGTTTAATGTCTGTTTTCACCATGAAGATAAAATAAAGTCCGAAATTTTTTTTTACCATTATAAAGTATATTACATTAGCTTTAATTTAAGATATATATAAAAGTGTCAGACCTTCCGGAACACTTTCAAAAGTTACGTTGAAAAAGTTCTACTTTCTATATGCATTTTTATGTTTTGAATCCCCCCTGTATTTAGGGAAATGGTCCGATTTAAAAAAACAGTATGTCGAATGAAAGATCTATATAAATACTACTTCTCATAAAAAAAATGTGTTGATCTATACTCTTTTCAAAATGTTATAGCATAATAAAGTTAAAAATGGAAAATACAAAATCGAAAATTTTCACACAAAAATAGCATTCGGTAGCCATTTTCACCATGAAGATAAGATAAAGTCCGAAATTTTTTTTTACCATAATAAAGTATATTACATTAGCTTTAATTTAAGATATATATAAAAGTGTCAGACCTTCCGGAACACTTTCAAAAGTTAAGTTGAAAAAGTTCTACTTTCTATATGCATTTTTATGTTTTGAATCCCCCCTGTATTTAGGGAAATGGTCCGATTTAAAAAAACAGTATGTCGAATGAAAGATCTATATAAATACTACTTCTCATAAAAAAATTGTAATGATTCATACATTTTTCAAAAAGTTATAGCATAATAAAGTTAAAAATGGAAAATACAAAATCGAAAATTTTCACACAAAAATAGCATTCGGTAGCCATTTTCACCATGAAGATAAGATAAAGTCCGAAATTTTTTTTTTTCATAATAAAGCATATTACATTAGCTTTAATTTAAGATATATATAAAAGTGTCAGACCTTCCGGAACATTTTCAAAATTTAAGTTAAAAAAATTAATTTTTTGTGAAAAAGTTGTCATTTTAAATCCCCCCTTGTGGGCAGGTTAAGGGTTAAATTTATGAAAAAAATATACCAAATGAAAGGTAATGATATTATGCATCTATATAAAAAAGAATTATATTGATATGTTTATTTTTGAAAAAGTTATGGCACTTTTAAGTAAAAAAAATTGAAAAAATTTCGAAAATTAGCGATTTTTAAATTTGTAATTTTTTTGGAGGTTTCCCCCTTTTACGGGGAACGAGGGAATTTTTTTCAATTTTTAAGGGTAATGTCTTCGACTAGATACGATTTGTGATCTTTTGACGTATCGTTGAAAGAAATCCGTTCGGTGAGAGCTGAGAAAAAGTGGTAACAGACACAAAAAAAAAAAAAAAAAAAATAAACACATCTTAGTAAAACCAATACCTTCTCAGCTTCGCATCGAAGCTAATAAATTTAATTTTAATTGTGTTGCAATTTCAATATACATAAATGTATAAATAAATATAGAAAATTATAATTGAATATAATTACATTACATTTTTATTCTAACTATTTAGTTGAATCTTAAGTGAACGTGGTTAACATACGTAAAAATTCTAATAAAATAATACAATTTGCAAAATTTACAATGAAAATTTAACTTAAGTAATTCAATTGACAATATAATGATATTTTGTAATAGGATACAAACATTTACTTATTATTAACCCAAAATAAATAGTTAAGACACTTATTACACAAAATAACACAAATGACTCCTCTGCCTTTTGTAATTTGTGCAGATAAATACATATATCAATACAAACAGATTCCACATATACAAATTAAAATAGAAAATTTGTAAACAAAAATTAATTTGCAATTGCCGACAAATTACAATATCTAAAATCTAATTATGCTTGAAATTTCATAACTGAAAAGTCCTAAATTGTAACTATGAAGATAATGTGACAAGTATTTCATATTGTTTGTAAATTAATTTTTAATACAAAATAAATAAAAATTAACCATCATTTATTTAAATTTGTACTCCCTAATTTTTTTAGGGCTAAAATTTCAAAATATAAAAAATATTTAAATGTATATTTAATATACTATAAACTTGTCACATTTTGATCAAATTCTAGATTGAAAAATATACACAAATGAATACTTTTTACATTATAACAAAAAATTGATTACTAACTAAATAGTGTAAATGATAAAAAAAAAATCAAGAGACATTGTTCTTTCGTTTGATCAAAAATCAATTCCTTGAAGAGTTTGTTTCTTGAGATAACTTGATTAAATATAAAGAACATAAAGTAGGTAATCATCCTGAAATATAAAATTTAAAAATTTGTTATAATTGTTTAGTATGAATATACTGAAAAATTTATTTTTATTTATAGATAACCTTGACTAAAAATATATTTAAAATACTAATCTAATCTAAAAAAATATTAGTCACGAGAGATCAATTCTTAATATATATATTAACAGTAAATAATACAATCTTCACCCTTAATATTTAAATAATTTTAACAAAAATTAAGTAATACGAATGTTTAAACAAAAGTTAAGTTGGATTTAAAATTTTAAATTTCAAATAAAACTTTAATTTTAATAATGTTTATATTATTTAGGTTAGAAATTGCAGTGAATTGTAATAGTTAAAACATAAATCAAATATTGATATATTTGATGTCCAATAACTGTTTTAACAGCACATTTCTTGATATAATTGCATATAATTCCCATTATTTGATTGCTTATATTTAATTTAAGACAAATTAGAAGCTTACTCGTTAACTAGGTCAATTTAGTTACATATTGTTTCCTGAATATTTTAAATGTTTCAAAACAAAAGCATGATATTGCCTATAGATGGAAGTTTTATACAAATTACAATGGGTTACTAGTTATCAAGTGTAAATTTAGATACCAGTAGAATAAAGGATTTCAAATTTTATTTTAATTACTGTTACTGTTGACATTAAAGGATAATTTAAAAGATTTATTTACCAAATGTTTCTTATTTTTTTATTTGATCAAGCATATAATATAATTTTTTATTATTCTCCTATTCAATGTATCTGTCATAGTACAATGATATTTAAAATGGTTTCTCTATTTTAAAATCTTGTTTGAATACAAATAATACATTGATATTAAAAAAAATAATTGTATATTATCTTTTTAAAATATTAATTCGTTAATGATAAAAATAAAAATTTCAACACTGTATTTATTTATTATCTATCGTAATTTTTAAAAAGCTGTATTTTTTAGAATTTTAAATGTTATACTTAATATTTTTTTAATATATTTCTAATATATGCTTTAAATTTTGTCTGAAATTCAACCGATTCAGCTCAATTATATCTTTATAATTTCGACATTCAATCTTTTTACGTAACATTTATATATGTATGCGTTATTACATTTATGGCATTTGTATATAAAGTTTAATCAAAGCTTTTAATGTCTTTGAATTTAAAGATGGCCAGTAATAAAAGCGTCTTTGTTATAATTTACAAAACAGTAGAATCACATTTAGTTTAGTTTTTTATTTATCACTTAGTCATTCTTTTTGGTTGTTTACTAAAAATGTTTAGGGTAATAAAAAATAAAAATGACTTCTTTATTTGTTATGATTGAAAAAATAAATGAAGCTTTCGTATTATTGAAATTTCAATAACTAAATAAGTTTTGTCGGAAAAATGTTTTAAAAATATTTTAACTTGACGATATTCTTATTATTTTATATACAATAATTTAAATCTAATCTATTATAGCAAAAAAAAATTTAAATGTAAATATATGTTCAAATAAAATAAAATTGGTGTAACATATTTAATAAAAATAAATAAATAAATAGTAATTAAAAAAGAAATGTTCTTTAGCTATGATTGAATACATTTTAAAATTTATTAACGTGTATCATAAACACATTACTTTAAATATATTTTGCAAAGTTATATTTTAGCAATAAATCAACTGGTAATATTTACATAACTCTTTTATAATTACTAATTGTACTTGGTTTCTTTAAAGTTGCGTCACTTGGGTTATTTACACGTTGACTCGAAGAATTTAAATCTAATTCTGTCATATAGATATAAAATTTTTTTTATTTTGTCATAGAGCGTTACATTTATGCTTTTATTCAAGTTCAGTTACTAAATACTTCTAGATTTTAGGGTAATGTTAATACATAACACACTTTAAAATTTTGTCATTATATTAGTTTTCTAAAAAAAATTATGTCCTATGAGATTTTTAAGTTTAAAATGCAAGGAACTTAATATATTATTTAGGCTACCTGAAATTTATCAAGTTATTCCTATACATGTGAACTTTTATTAGAAACAACCGGTAACCGGAAACGAGTCAAAAACATTTTGGTATAATAAAAAATATCCTACTGATAACCAGCACTCGATTGACTAGATATAGGTAAAATATATCTAATTAAAATCCAACTCAAAACTTTCTGAGCTTAAGATTTATTTGTTTATATTATAGTTTGTTTTCGTTAATTTCTATTGTATTGTCGTAATAGTTTCCTAGTGCAAAAACACGACAATAACTATGAATAAAAATAAATAATAAAAAAAAATTTACTTACGGGTTCTTCATTAATTTTTTTTCATAAAGTCTTATCACAAACATTTTTTTCCGATACTTCTTTCCAACTTCCATCGCCATGATTTAAAGCAACTTGTTGAACTAGCTGTGCAGACGGTGCCTTACGATCATACACCCAACCAATCCAAGCAAAAAAGTCTAGAAACATGGTCGTCAAGTTGAATACATATCCTCCTATTTCGGCAGCTCGGTAATCCCATGGAAACACGTGGTGATAGTTATGCCATCCCTCACCCATAGCGACCAAAGATACCGCTAAATTTTGAACCGGTTGTATACGTCTGTAATAAACAAAATGATTTGATAGATAATCATAAAAAATGTTAAATCTTTCTTCGTACTTGTCATAAGGTTTATTTCCCCAAATATGAGCTACACTGTTCACTGACCACGTGAAGTTCAAATTAAATACGTATCTGACCAAGCCAATGGCAACAAATGCATCCATCCAATTTTCATTCCACGCGTAAACAGGTAATGCGGCAGGCAAGTAGAAACAGAGCAACAATTTCAACAGTATAAAATACCTAAATAAATTGCACTTTTCTAGGTCAATCTTGATGACCATTATTAGCTATTTGTTCTTACTTTGTGTGGAATTGTACAAGGGGGTCGTTGTTTATGTCAGACATATCGACTACTTTGCCTCGACGATAGACTTCTGGGTGTTTGCGTTGCATTAGCCAGCCGACATGGGAAAAAAAGAAACCCCTGTTAGCATTATGTGGGTCAGCATCGGTTTCGCTAAACTTATGGTGAACACGATGGTCTCGAACCCAATCGGGTATAGAGTTCTGTGAAAAATAAAAACAAAATCTAAACACACATTGTGAACTAGAAATTTTTTTAACTCATATTTTTTAGGCACCGACTAAACCAATAATCTATTTGTGATAATTTGAATTGCCGCAGTTATTACAAATCAAAATTTCAGTTTTAATCATAATGTATAAATGCGTTCAATAAATATTACAACATTTTCATTAGCATACCTGCCCAGAAACCGCGTAACACGCTAAGAGTATTATTTGTAGAGGTAATTTTGCTTTATACGATCTATGAGTGTAATATCTGTGAGCTCCGCCAGTTACGCCGAATCCTCCGATACCTCCGACGATGAACCCTGAGAAAATAATGATTAGAAAATTAGATTTTTTTTTTTTGTGAAAATGAGCACAAAAACTGTACCATTTTCGTATTAGGTTTTTTACGTAATAAGTAGTAGGGTATGCAACGATTTAGAGGGTCAATAATGGAACGCATAGCGAAAGCCAATGTTACACACTTGTGTAATAAACGTGCATTAAATTTAAGGCCAATGACAATTTCATAAATATGCGTGTGTTTTATGACACGGAACACTGGATCAAATGAATGTTAAAGAAAATATTTAAGATAAGTTTTTTTTTGTACTCACCCCATAATATCGTAGGATATTTGATTGTATGTCTTATGTGGTACATTCCAACTACTGACAATACATGAACTAGAGTAATAAGAACTACGTTATGCCATATGATTTCTTGTTTGCTATTTAATGGTGACTTTGAAGGTTGTTCAACTTCCAAATTACTCTCTTCGACGATTCCGTCAAATTTTTTCGCATTTTTTGACAAAGGCAAGTTTACTTCGGTGACAGTAGTCGTTTCTGAGCGCATGAGCACCATGATGTAATAATGTATTCTTTATACCTATACAGAAGTACATTAAATTATTTCACTATTGAGAAGTAACACGGAGGCTGCAGATACAAATAGACCGCTGTTGTGCTGTTCACGTCATTGTATTTTAACTGTGTTACTAGAACATAACGACAATAGTCTAGAAAAACGTCGAGAATCAGTTTCGAAACTACAATTTTATAGTACTGTTATTGAATGTGTGACAGCGCATTAGTGAAAATAAAAAAAGAAAAAACGTTATAACATAACATCTACACTTGGCCATATTGAATAACACCTTTAACACGTGGAGTTAACATTTTGAGTAGGCAATTTTTGTGTTTATAATTTAAGTGTAACAATCGAAAATAAAAACAGAAAGCAATTCAAATTATACCAAATCTAATCGAATTAAGTTTTCCAGCGGAAAGAAAGAAATTAACCATCGGAAAATCTCGTAAACGCATTAAAAATTTTAAGTGAAAAAGAAATAAGAAAAATTATTTGTTATGGAGAAATTTCATTTCCTTGCGCAATCGATGCAGTTGTTTGTCAAACATTTTACATAAACTGGCAATATTTAAACTTCTTACGCGATGCAACAGTTTAAAAGTAAAATATTTTAATGAATAGAGTCTTTAAGAATTAAAATGATACAACAATGTCCTTACTAAGAAGAAAATGTTCAAACAAAATTTCATACAAATGATTTGTTACTAAATAATAATTATCGATATATTTCTTCAACTGATACTCAACGCTGTATATTCAAACTTCACCTACTTTAAATGTTTAACTATCGATTTTTTTTCAAGCCCTACGTTGAAAAATGTTATTGAACGTTACTAAAAAATGTTTTAAAATATGCACACTATACAAAATTATATCGCTGTGTTATAAAAAAAATACCATTCCTAACCGCTACAATTGATTTCCTCATGTATTTTGTTTATATTTAATAATAGTGAGTTCAGCAAAAATTATTCAAATGTTTCTACAAATAGATATAACATAAAAATATTAAAAAGTCTTTTTAATATTTAATTTATACCCTATAAAATAATCACTAAGTAATGATTGTATAAATTAATTTAGAAAATGTTACACTTTTCGCATTAATTTATTTAAGTTTTATAATGTTTAAATGATACACATCAATGATAATTTATAACGAGTTTCTTGCCTCTATGGCTTAATTTAGCTTCTGATTACTAAAATTTATCTTTTAATTTACACACCCATTGATAGAGGTTCAAGAAGTTTTTCGTAATAAATCACGCCACTAAAAAATAAAACGCGCAGTGCTGCAGCTGAAGAACGACGTTCACTTACCTGTTATATGATTAATGAAGTAAGCATAAAAAATTGAATTGTTCGGTCTCAAGAACCGTGTTGCACTATGAAACAGGGAATACTGATGGATTCGAACAGCATAGTTGCTTTCTTAACGTCTTCCGTGACGTGTATATTTAGCTTTTCCTTTATAATTTTTTAGTCATTCGGGTTTCAGATAGCTCGAGGCCCCACTTCAACACTTATTGTTTGACGAAGAAATGGTGTACGATCATTTGTTGGACAAACACTTTATGTCTAGTTTTTATTTATGTAAACATCACAATTTTACTTCAAATATTAAAATGCGTATGTGATATATTTTTATTGTTTCATCGATTCACACATATGTACATTTTTTATTAATATTTTCGAGTTTTATTTTTAAAAAATGTATTCATTATTACAAACCATTGTTAATTTAGACCATTTTTGTAATGTTTAGAAATACATACATCTTTGATTTATAACCAAGACCAGCTTTTAGAGAATCTGAAGTAAAAATATTTTATTGTGACTACTTTTAAATTTTGCATTAAGATAAAACTTCTTTTTTTCACTAATCAATCTGGTTTGTGGAATCATTTTGAGAAAAAGGCTTCAAGTGATTGTATTCCATTTTAACAACCAATGCTAAAATACATTAATTAAATGCAATGTGAGTAAGAATGTTTCATATTGATCTCAATTATGAGACTAGGTCTGTCTTACAGTGGCCAGTGAGACAGGTCCTCATGGTCTGTTGATATATGAAAAAGAAGGTATTATATTTGAAAAATTTTAAAAAGGGAATGTTTTTATTTTTATGATGAAAAAAATTATTTCCGGCGTAATTTTTGATGGACATGATAAACTGCTATCACTAATTAAATAATGCTTGGATTAAAATAAAAATTTCAGTGGCAATATTTAAGAATAACTTTACTTTCAACATATGTCTATTGAAAAATCTTATCAATAATCAAGTACTGAGGGAGACATAATCGTCATGTTAATTTTTTTTGTTAAAAAATAAAATCTTCGACAAGTAAGGTTATCAGCCTGCATTATACAATATATTTATACTTAAAAGTTAATAAGAATTTTTTACATATGATATATACAACTTTTTTATCTTAATATAACTTACAATTTAATAATAAGTCAATTAAATAAATCAATTTTCCGTGTATGATTTGTATCATTAGCTTTCACAGTTTCTTTAATTTTCTTTTACTTACCGAAAAGCGATGAACTGTTCCATTTAGGCTGTCAATCTTAAATGATGGCAATATAATTTTTTTTATACAGGAGTGTGTTGATGAGTATAGTCTAAGGGGAGATCGCTCCATTGGCTAGTTTGTCTATCATTTTATTACCAATAATACCGGTGTGAGATAGAACTTATATAAATTCAATCATTGTTCGTGATTTGACTATGATATTCAGAATTGATTGTAGTAATTTTAGAATGGTTTATAAGTATTTTGTGGACAGTTTTTTTGCATAGAATACTATTTTTTGATAGCATTGATTTCAGCTGTGTAATAGCCCCAGCTTCGTGGAGACATATAAAAAGTTTATGTACATTTCTAATGATACACACGAAACCTTCACCATTTATATTTTTAAATACATAACTGAATTTCATTGTTAACTAATAAAGATAACAGGGTTTTTTTTAACATATTCTAGGCGCTTTTGTAAATATAGTCCTTTAACTTTATAAAGTTTTTGCTAAAATAGGATTACTCCTGCACTTGTTCTATCTGAATTTCTAAAATGTTTAAAATATCCATTATAGTGTTTAATGTGATTTTATTGTGTGTGTTTTAAGTTAGTCTCGTAAAATAATATTATATTCTTGATTTGATTTTTGTTATATAGGGTTTTTAGAAAATAAGAAAATGAGTTTCTATTGTTCTCATTGTTTGTAAAATTGACCTGTTCCCTTATTTTTAACACTCTATATAATATGTTCGTGTCTGTGTTACGTTAATCCGTCGTATTTCCATTAAATTATGTTCATATTAATAAATATTTGAAAAATTATTTATTTTTGTATTTAACTTAGTTCTAGATATTTTGTTACAGAGATAGTTTACATACTTTATTATTATTATCACACTATTCTTAGGATGGCTGTATTTGAAACAACAGGCTAGTCAATTAGGTTAATTTGGACTTCATTAAACCAATCATAAAGACGAAATTAGTTCTATTATTTATATATTTATCCCGATTTCGTCACATATTCGGTATATATTATTTTATTTATTTCCAAAATTTTCAAAGATAACTTTTTGTGCAAAATTTTTTTTTGCGCAACATTTTTTGCTTATCATTTAATTACCTTAACAATGATAAACATCAATCTCAATTACGATAATGATAATAATATTTATAATTACGATACCGATCAGCCACAAATATGATCTTTGTAATAACTGTAAATAGATATTCTTGTTTTTTCATTATCACCTACCACTTTCAAGTTAATTATTGGACTTGAAAAGGTTTTTTGAGCCTTAATAATTAAAATTAATGTTACTTTTATATGAAGAGGTTCTGATTTCCAAATCTTAATTAGATCATTATATAATAAATATGCTAGTTAATTATATATGTTCCCATTTGAAAAATTTAAGTTGACAATGTTATAACTATAATTTATAAACAAAAAAATACTTCATAACTGATAAATTAATTAAGTAATATATGTAATCAAAAGAAGCCAATAATATACTGTTAATATATGTTATAATGAAAGTTCCAGGAAAATATTTTCATAAGTTCGCAACTTCGTTAAATATTTATGTTGATGTTTTTTACATAATTATTCATTATAATTAATAAAAATTTATTTCCTCAACAAATTAATAACAATGAGATTTTTCATAAAATAAAATAATAATATGAAATGATTAAGTGTATTAGGATGTCAGTTATTTATACATTTTAAATTTATTCAATAATTTACCATTATTTTTTTTATAACTAGTTACAAATAAAAAAGGTGGCAAAATTTAAAATCAATCCCATTATATTTACTCATGGCAACTTATGATTTGGTGTTTAGAAAATAAAGATGAAATTATAAACCTCAGATTAATCAAAGTTACTCATATTTAATATTATCATTATTTTATAGCTTATATGGCTTCAAATTATTATGAAATTCAAAGTCCAAGAACATATATTTTTATATTCTAATTTCTTGGTTTCTTAATTGTTATTAGATAATACGGCTTCTTAAATTTTTGAGCATTTCTATGACTTCAAAAATTATTAATTTCTACATTTTTTCGAGTTTCTAAATACTAATTAAAAAGAAATTCTAAAATGCTGATCGCAAGAAAAATAATTTTTAACTTAATGATTTTATGAATGCTTTTCTTTCAAGAAATTGATAATTTTGCGTTAAAATCTTTTTACTTGAAGCCAAATACAAAGTTTTTAAAGTAAATACTGAATAAGAACATCAATATGAGCTTAATTTGTATATAACCCTACAAATTATTATTTAAAATTTAAAATATATTAATTAAAATAAAATATTTGACTCAAAATCCAAAAAAATTACTAAAAAGTATCGCAGATACGTATTTCGGGAATAATAAACAATAATCAATGCTAAACACATAGTGACCCCAGACTGAAAAACTTACCTTTAAATACCCTTAGTTTAAATACCTTATCATCTAGTTACTTTATCACTAATTGATATTAACACCTAGTAACGCTATCACTAATTGATGTTATCACCTATTAGTATGTCATGCATTGCCAATTAACACAAAATTAATTTAGTTTTAAATATTCTTTAAACCTGAACCCTATGTTTATTTATATTAGTCCTACGTAAAATTTATTACAACATTAAAATTATATATTTAAATGCCCGATTTAGCTCTTTTCTATTTTATCTATAGGGACACCAAAAAAATCTCTTAAATTATTAATGTTATGTTACTAATGTAATACCAAATTTTTTAAAATGAGTAATTTGACATTTTCATTTTGTATAAACTTCAAATATTGTACTATCAAGAATATAGTAATACAAGATAGTTTAACGTTTTTTAATAGTAAAAATATCATTCTAGACCCACTAACCTATTTGATTTTAAACATAATACAGTATAATTAATTTATCATGAACCTTTTAATTAATAATCAAGATTTGAAATAAAAACATATAATAAATAAAGTTTCTATAAGAGAATAAAAATAAAAAATGTACTTAATACGAAGTTTAAGAAAACATAATTATAAAAAAAAAAATTTCAACAAAATGATAACTATATCAAAAAAATA